AGTGGGTATCAGTCTTACCTCAAAAAAAAAAAATTTGAAGTAAAAAAAAATTGGAGTCCCAAACTAAACGACATCATTTTCCTCTCAAAAACCCAACCCTGTTGTTCGTCTTTTCTCTCAAAAATCCAACCCCTACTCCTTGCCTCCTCCGACAATCATCTCCATCTCCTTCTTTGCCTCCTCCAACAATCATCTCCATCTCCTTCTTTGCCTTTTCTGAAATCATCTCCATCGCCTCCTCACCTCCTCGACTCCGCCCCTACAAAATACAATAAATCCCACAATCTCTTGCAGCCAAGAAGGTAACAAAAAAGAAAACAAAAATCCAATCTTCTGATTGGAATAATATTGATAAAAGAATAAGAAAAGAATAAAAGTATAACTAAAATTTGTATGAAAATCAAAGGAAACGAGTAGGATTTAAAATAAATTAACAAACCCAGATTTGGGATTCCAAAATCTATATGGAAATGAAGAGGAAATGAAGAAAGCAACCATGGCTAGACCATTCAAAAACAAACCTAGAAAAGAAAATAAATGTTGCAACATCTTTGAAGACAACAAACCCAGATCTTTGAAGCCTTGCCATGCCTTCCCCTCCAAAGTGTTGGCAGTATAATGGGGATGTTAAGAGGAAAAAACATATTCAAAATTCAACATGAAATTGAATGAAACCGAGCGGCAAAACGAGCAACACAACATCAAAAACAATCAAAATCATCATTAATGAGCCCACGCAAGAAAAACAAATTTAGTTTAAATCCCATTTGCAATAATCTTTTCACAACACTAAAATTCAAATCAAAATTCTCGTTCTTGATAATGAAACAAACTTGAATTTCGCATTAAACGCATAAGTGTATTTCAATCCATAATCAAATGCGGCCAAGAAAACAACATAATAATAATAATAATAATAACTCATAAATCCAATTTGTGAACAGAACTCGGGAAAGAGAAAAGATGAGGACCAGAACTCAGGCATTTTTTAACACAACAAACCTAGATCTGGGTTTCCTTTATTATAACTAAAATTGCAATTTCAATTTTCATGATTCAATTTCAACACATGAGGGAATAAGAGGAAAGGGAGATAGAGATGATAGGGAATAGGGGGAAAGGGAGAGATAGAGATGATTGCAGAGGGGGCGACATTACTGATGAGCTTTTTGAGTGAAGAGGTGAGGAGGCTATGGAGATGATTGCAGAAGGGGCAAAGAAGGAGATGGAGATGATTGTTAGAGGAGGCGAGGAGTAGGGGTTGGATTGTTGAGAGAAAAGACGAACAACAGGG